AAAAAAAAAAAAAATAAATAAATAAATAAAGGCATTTATCATGAAAAAAGCATTAAAATAAACATCCCTACAGAAAGAATGATTTTCATTACCATACAGAACTGTACCCATTACAAAGCAAAAGCAAACAGATTTGAAACCTGAGAAGCTTGAAGTGGAAAAAAAATGTTTCCCTTAACTCATAATCGAATAATTCTATATATCGATGTTTACAATCTATATATTAACTTAATCGAAAAAAATGCTATACGTGTGGAACTGTGGATAAACTAAACGAAGCTATAGTGAAACAAACACGCTGCGAACCTACGTATGCTCTTAGGCAGTTTTTGTCGTGTTACTCGACTCGGTTTTGGAGTCTGACTTTCTACACATGCAATCGGGCATGGGGTGCATGTAGAGTGAGCTACTCGGCTTTCTCATCTCTTTGCCCTTGACGTCATTATGGTGAAGCATATCCTGCATTTGCCGCTTAAAATCTTGCCATCTGCAAAAGATTAAATGTGATGCATGTATGTAACCGTATTCTTGTCGTTACGTTTATTTTTTGTTACGCAAACATCAGCCGCGAAAAGGGACAAAAAACAATGCTTTGAGGAGAAGTGATTTATGATACAAAAATGGGAAATTTTGAGGGGAAAAAATTGCAATTTTAGTTCTGTATGTTTCAGTTTCATTACCCTAACTTTTTGGTCCAACTCGAATTGTTGTTTCGATTTTCGTCTCTTATTTTCGCAAAAAAGTCCCAGGGAGGAAATTGCAACCTTTTCGCAAATTGGAAGGGGACATTTTTGTAAACTTATTGCAAACATCAGCCACGAAAAAGACAAAAAGTGTGCTTTGAGGAGAAGGGATTAATAGTACAAAAACGGGAAAGTTCACAAAAATAAAAATTTCATTAAGAGAAAATTGCAATTTTAGTTATGTATGTTTCACTACCCTAACTCTTTCATCCCCAATTGCCCAATTGCATTTTTAATTTTCGTCTTATATGTTTTCAAAAATGTTACAAAAAGGTCCCCGAGACAAGGGATAAAATTGCAAATATTTTGCAAATTCGAATGGGACCTTTTTGTAAACTTATTGCAAAAGGGACGAAATTTAAAACAGCAATTCGAAGATGACCAAAATTGCAATTTTCTCTTTCATTAATATTTGGATGTAAAAGCTAAAAGTTATGGTGAAGTTTTTGAGTATTTAGTGAATTACTGTAGGAGTGGTTTTTTATTCACAAGAAAAGTCAGTAGTAGATTACCTGATGCTCGGCTTATCGAACAATTGGGCTAACTTCCTCTTATCGGGCTTTATTGTTTTGGCGTGCCCTTCATAGACATAGCGCCTGTGGCCCACCAAGAAATGAGGGAAATTACCACCTTGCGTCGTGACAAAAACTTCACTATGGAGGCAAACCGTATAGTCTAGGGCCGCCAATCTCGACGAGTACCCCTAAAAATAACCATACAATTATACCGGCGTTTCAACTCTCGGAAAAAGAAGAGATGTACAAAAGTATCCTTGTGATTCAGACTAATTACAAAAATCCCCCACACGTTTCAAAAGTTCAAATTCCCTCCTGATATATGTTTCTTCTCTACCATGCTGAAGCCTAAAAAATGCAAATCACTTCTTAATACACCTTGAGTGAGATAATTTTTGTAATTAGACCAAGCTTCAGGGGTAATTTTGCAACTTTCGACTTAGAAATTAGATCATACCACAAATGGAGCTAGCTCATCAGGGGAAGCCAGAGTATCTTTAGTCTCGAGACGGGGAAACATTTGTTTTAAAGGAGCCATATGCTTCTCAACTTTGTAAATCTTTCCAGCAGCAACAAACAGAGAGGTGTTGTTATCAAATCCCATGCCCCTAAGCATCATTCCAACCTGCCGAAAATACCAAATTACAATGCCACCAAGAGGCAAAAATAAGAAAAACCAGGGTTCTAAGAATAATAATTAGGAAAAAATGCATTTTTAGTCTCGTTGGTTTAACCGTTAACGTCATAGCAATTTGTCCCAAGATTTTAAATTTTGGACTTGTGGTCCTGTTATTTGTGATTTAGTATATTGCTACAATTTTTACAATTTTAGTCTTTTGATAATTGAATTGGAACAAAATTTTAAATTAGAGGAGATTTGTTGCCATTTCAGTCTCAAAGGACTGAAATTGCAACAAAATATTAAATTACAGAACTAAAAAGCAAAATGTTGGAGCCTTTGAGGCTAAATTTGCTATGGCATTATACTAGCAAAACAAATTGTAATTTTGCCTAATAATTATAATACCTCGAGGGGTGTTAAAGGGCATTTCCCATCCACACGATTTGCGCCGGGTCTTATTACTCGACCTCTTCTCCTAAATTTCCCTCTCCAACTTCTCTCCCGAACGAAGTCCATTTCACGTTTTTCCTCTTCACCTCCGTCATATATGCAGCAGGAGAATGCAACCATATCCTTCACAATTAAAAAAAAAAAAAAAAAA